TATGATGGTCCTACAATGATGGACTATATTTGTTTTACATTAACGTAAATACGTAGATTTGCACAAGCTACAGAACCTAGGACAAACTTCACAAGTTTCAATTATTGAAAAAACACACTTTGATTGAAATATAAGCTTTGAATCTTGCTTGTGTCGATTTCATGGGCTGATGAATTGAAAAGGTCTTGAAACAAATTCAACATAAACTGCTTACCAGTTCATTAAATTTGTTTAACCCAGTAAATGATTGATGAACGAAATGCAGTCATGCCATGTTAAACTAGATCCCCTGTACTTTATACCACATCTAATTAAATGATAATGAGTCAATGCCTGACCTTCCTTGTTCGTGACCTTTAAATTTTTATTCGGCCTTCAAATGTTGGTCGTGGCACTGATTTCCTTATCCTTTACTCCACTCGTGACTTAATGCTGGGTATAATATATTCCTTCTTCCTTATTTTTTGTTCGCAATATTTGTTTAATATAATAATATCCCTCCAATTGTTTGAAGTGACGATAATTTCCTTGTCCTTTTTTCCGTATTCAATTAAATGCTTGTTTAAATATACTTGAGCTACGTTTTTTTTGTGCGTCCTTATTTCTTGTAGGGTACACTCCTCCAAACATTTACGGTGATGATATTTTTTTTATCCTATAGTCAGCATGCAATTTGGTGCTAGCAATGGTATAATTCTACTTTTGTTTGTTTGTTTGTTACTTTTCATCTGTAGTTGTTTATCCATGTTTGTAAGTAACAATAATTCTATCTTTTAATACACGTATTGTTGTAAAAGAAAACACTCTTGTTTTACCAATAGAGTAAATCATATGTTGGTATATATGATACGGACATTCTACACAAGGGTGTAGAATTTGAGTCAGACTGGGGCTTTGCTGAGGTGCTGACACCAAATTTTGCAACCAAGGGTAGACTATGTGTATAGCGAATACCTACATAATAAGAGACTCTTTTCTCCCCTCTCTTAACCAAAATTAGGGTAAACATTATATAGACAATGCAAATGCAATACTTATGATAGCAAAACAAAAGATAACGTATATGAAAATAAGGCCATGGGGAAAAGCATAAAAGTATGGAGAAGGATCGTCATTGAAGTACCACAAAATTATCTTAACACCAGAAACTCACACCAATGTAATGGCTGATCTATCACTGTCCCGTCACTGTGCCTCGGAAGAGAGATGTCGCGGTAAAGCTCCAGCCAGCGGTGGTGTAGTGGCGGACTGCTCCGACTCGAACATTTCTGTTATACCAGATTTCAATTCCAACGTTACCGACATATTGCTACAGAGGAACAATATCAAATACTTAAAGATCGAGGGAGACCAAGTAGCCAGTTCTATTTTATATTTGGATATTTCTGAGAACAAACTTGAAAACATCATTGGCGATCCCTTCCAACCTATGGAAGCATTGCAACATCTTGATTTGAGTCACAATTTCTTACAAATATTGTATTTCATGGATTGAAAAGCTTAACATATCTCAACTTGAAGTGCAACAATCACAATGACAGAGTTCGTTCTGATAACCTGACGTATCCAGTGAGTATCAGAAATATTACAACGCTGAAAACTTGTTTACTAGACGGTGTGGATCAAACTGGTTTCACTGGCGATTCCAAGAACCTTACAAAACTAGTATATCTAGACCTAGAAGGTCACACGGGAGTTTGTATATTACCTATCTTGCGATCTAATTATTTCGAAAATGTATCCTCTTTTCAACATCTCAATGTATCTTACTGTAAAATGCGTAGCGTTCAAATTGGAACTATTCGTGTGCTTACAAATATGTACGCGCTAAACATTTCCCACAATGACCGGCTAACCTTCAGCGTTATGTCCAATTTGACTGATGACCTACAAGTTGTACCAATCCACACATTAGATATCAGCAAGCTCCACTGTGACTATGGACCAGGAATCGCTTTATACGTGCAAGATATAGACAAATTAAGCAAGCATACGCATTTGACAAATATGTACATACATGTAGACAGCAATAGATTAACTCTAGTAGAGTTCGGCGTGATTTCAAAACAACTTAAAAGTTTACGGTTCCTATCCGTAAAAGAAAATAGGATTACGTACGGGAACTATTTTTGAATTAGCCAGCGCTATAGTAGGAAGTAACCAGTACTCCTCCCATAACCCTATCACCGGTTCGAAGGACTGCAACGACTGGCGGGCACCACCATCCTCAAGTGACGATGACTCCTCTACAGATCAGAACGCTGTTCTCGACATACTCTTCATCCTAATCTGAAAGAGGTCTTATTTCATGATATTTAGATTATGTAATAACAGGACGTATTCTTGTCGGTCCGAACAACTTGACACGAATTGACCACCTTAACTTATTACATTCCTGGAAAGGTATAGTTTCAAATTTACATCACGTAGAATATATCGACGGATCAAACAAGTATTGTACGTTTTTATCAGATGAATTCTTTAACGAATGTCCGAACCTAGAAACCCTAATTGTACATGCAAATCTGCTTGCGAATGTTTTATATAACGATACCAATGGGAAAAGTTTCAGACATCTCACACATTTAAAAGTGCTGGATTTATCTTGGAATCGTATGGAGACAGTTCCAAACCTTTTGCTTAAGAATCAAAACGAACTCCAAATACTGAACATCAGTAATAATGAACGTTACACATTCGACTTGGAGCTTAAACACATGGAAAAATTGCAACACTTAAACATATATCACAATCAACTACATGCATTTAGCAAGTATGATCGCTTTCAGATATATAGTCTTAAGCGTTCAGATATGACAGTGAACTTGTATGGAAATGAACTTCAGTGTTCATGTGAAACTCTTGATTTTTGAAAGTGGCTAGACGACAATAAGGCAATGTTTCAGAACTTCCGGAACTACGAACTACGAACTACGTTCCCACATGACTCAAGTACAACATTTATTTATTTTGAAAATGTTTTGATTGAGTTGAAAAAGTCCTGTTATGATTACACCGGATTGATAGCAGGGATAACGTCTGCTTTCGTTCTGGCCATCTCTTTGACCGTCTCAGGAATTGTGTACCGCTATCGATGGAAATTAAGATATTTGTTTTACATGGCAAAACAAGATACAAGGGATACACAGGTTTGGAGGCCAACAATGACGAACGAGATGATTACCCAAATGACGCCTTCATATCGTACTGTGAACAGGACGGGCGGTTTGTCAGGGGTGACTTATTAGACAACCTGGAGGGACGAAGTGGTTTAACACTCTGTCTACATGAACGTGATTTCATTCCGGGACAAGACATATCAGAGAATATTACAAAGGCCATACACCAGAGCTGGAAAACAGTGGTGATTGTATCTAACAACTATCTTAAGTCATACTGGTGTATGCACGAATTCGAAATGGCTCGTATGGACAGTATGCACTCAAGGGGAGGCAAGTCTGTTTTACTTTTGGTATTCTATGAAGATATAGCAGCGAAAGATCTTCCGTTGACACTGATGGATCTGATAGAAAGCAAATCTTACATTGAGTATCCGCACGACGAGTAAGGTAACGTTGTCTTCTGGGATAAGTTGGCTGAGACTGTTTCAATGTAAGCATATGACATATCACGTGAACTTGACTTTTCCTTGTATGTAAGTCTACTTCAAATGTCACATCTTATAGATATGAAGTGCAGGGGAATAAGAATATTTGTCCGCGGTCTGTGGTGAACACCATCTTTTTATTACATTAATTTTTGTATTGTTTACAAACCTAGACGAGACAGTTGGTGACTGATCTTGTGTAGTGACTATTCACTACAGCAGAAACACATATATTATTTACTCAATAACCATTGTTCCCGTAAACTGGAGTTATCATCTAATGACCTTACCATAAAACTAGACAGGTTTCCGTGACGTCGACATTAATTTATGTGGTAGAAGAGATGCAAATTTTCTATGAACGATAAAGCAGTTGTATGACGTCATCAGCAGCGGATGTAGGCGGGATTCACCAAGGATTATGCACATTTTAAAAGTTTTTAAGTTGTTAATTTAGCCGATCAAATTGTTGAAAGAATTTATTGGACAAAGATATTCTTTTGAATAAAAGTTGTTCACATAAATACATGTAAACAAATTAAAGAGCTAGGGAGGGTTGGTATGCCTATTTACCCAAAGCTGTGACCTCTAGCGCGCGTGGAACACCGTGTATTATAATGACTCGTCCTTAGATATTTTTGTATACAGGTAACTCTATCGGAATCCTGTATCTAAGATTTGGAGACACGGTAGTCTGGTGGTAGGACGCCGGGATCGCGACCGAAGGGTTGCGGGTTCGAGTCACGGCACGGCACTGTGTTGTATCCTTGAGCAAGATACTTTACTCCGCTTGTTTCAGTCTACTCAGCTGTAAATGAGTACGTGGCTGGGCAGTGCTAGAATTGTTGAATGCTAGCTGTGAACGCTGAAATGGAAGCACTGGCTGTATGCTCCCCAGGGAGTTGAGAAAGATATTGGCTGGTTGCAAAGGCCCTATAACCACGAATAATAATGTGTGAACCGCTTTGAGACGACATACGAACTAGGTTGTGATAAAGCAGTATATAAGCACCTAGAATTATTATCGAATTATTAGTATCTAAGAATAGATTATTGCACACAGCCGAAGTTAAAGCCATGGCTATTAGTACATGCGTTTCACTGCTTATTTTGCGTTATACATTTTAGTTTAAAACATATCATATGCTGTATGTAACACAAGATCGTACAATTAATTTTCATTACTACTGCCGGCGTCATGTCATGCTGTTACCTGTTTTCCTACAAAACACACATCTTGATTTTATTTTTCCTCCATATTTGAATGGCAAATTACAAATCATATTCGAAACGCATGTATTACACGTGCATTGCGCTCCTTACATAGTGCTGCAGTCATCCTGCATTTCAAACAAATGAAACTGTCCTCGACGATGAATTTTCCTGCAATTTTAGTTACATATTTGCGATAATAACATTTTTTTTATTGGCCTTATTTTAAATTATGACGCAACAATCCGACATATTTTGTATTTCGGCATCATTTGTTTGTGTTTAACAAATACATAAAATCACTTGTGTCAACTGGAGGATAAAACAATTCATCAATATCATTTTAAAGGATGTTTTATTAATGTAGTCTGATCACAAGTTAACTGCGTTAAACATTCGGCTACATCTGACATAGACAAATGCGAAAATACAAACTGTTTTAACCAAAGAAACACCTGCCTCAATTTTAAGAAACTTTCTCATCCTTGTTTTGCATTAATTTGAGCACTTTCCCAAAAGAGGACTATTTTTCCGCCATACGATTTTTTTTTTGAATGTTACATCATGGAATAAAAAAGGTTTATTCAAAAGTTGGTCCTCGGATGGGAAAAAGCTGAAAGTATGTTTCAAGTCTGGGGAACCCCATCCCTTTCATAGATATAGTGTATATGGCTATATTTGCAATATCATATACCTAATATCTCAGCAGTTCAAAAAATAATTTTTTTTTTTTTTATATCTATTCTATGCATTTACGCTACTAGAAATTATTAACTCATTAATATTTTTTTTCCGTTTTCATAAATGCCGAATATGGGCAGTTTTCCGCAAAAGCTCTTTTTTCAAATATGGGAAGAGTGTGAAAATGCATTCACATACAAATGATGTAACTATTTTAGAATAAAACTTATTCTTATGTACCTTCCTGACATTTGAATAGCAGATTGATATATAGATTATATGACTCTATGTATATCCATATTTATTTAAACATGTAATACAATTGAAAACATATATAAAGAGTGTCACAGTTAAACTACCTACTTATAATACACAAGTTTATTTTAAATGTATTTACTTGTAACTATTTATAGATACATATTTATAAACATTTCATATCTAGAAATTGCGGACTGATATACTGTACAACATATCTATACAATGTTTATACTAAGTTCGATTACATTTTACTTAAATAGCAACGTAGATCGAAATTTTCATTAAGACAGAATATGGATATATTTATATAGCCTTGTATTAGTTTATATATTTGTGATACAAAATGTGGACGAGTTGTCCACACAATCGATGTAGATTCGGCTACGCTGTAAGCGTATGTACAATAGTTGTTATATATGAACCGAAATGACTCGATTCAGCTACATTGTACGCGTTGTTTAATACTTTAACAACTATTGTACATACGCTAATAGAGTAACCGAAGCATACGCTTCACTGGTCATTTCTCTGATGAAAGTGACAGTGTACATACCGTAATAGTCATAGAAACGTCACATAGACACTGTTATTGGTCATGTGAAGAAACTTTTCATAATCCATACTTACCAACCCGAAGAAAATGTTTAGAAACATTATCGGAAAATCTGAAAGCTTTAGTTCTTTTACTCAATAATACTTGTAGAACAGTCTTTTAAAAATAACTCTTAACTGCCCTTTTGGGCCCGCATTTAGGTGTGTGTTTTCTTATTTCAAGCGTAGTCTTTAAAGATTAACCGCCTATTTATTTTATTAGGGCATCGCCCCTTTTCCCCTTTGGACCACACCCATCATCCTTCACAGAGTGAGTGCATAATGGCACGTTAACACGGATATCAATAACGATAAACAGGGATATATAATTGATATCAGGAGGCTGATGACATAGTATCATTTTATAAATAAGTTGCGTGAGACAAACAACACGTGTGACAAACAAAACAACGCTCTTGAATATATTAATAGAAAACACTAAGAGCTTCAATCAAAACACAAATTATTAAAATAATTCCGATATCAAGTTTTACTCAATCACATTTAGTTTTCTCAACAATCGCGTTCATTTTATCAAATGACAATCTACCGACCTGATCTTAATTCTACAATGCGTATTGATTTTTAAAATAAAGTGCAAACAAACCTAAACCTTATCTTACTTTTCATGTGTCAACGCTGTTATTTCAAGAGGTTTTTAAAATTGAAGCATACCTGCACAGTAAGGGAGGCACGCACGCTCATTTGGCTGAAATCATTGTATAAACGGCACAGGGAGAAACAGACACACAACACAAAAGGGTCTATCATTTGAAAGTAACAAACATGAAGACAGCAAAGGCTATTGATGGTAAGTCTTAAGTATTTGGAGGATAAAAATGAATATTTGAAACGGATAAAAAACATACCAAATCAATCTTTCTGCTGTTGCCTTTCATATCAATCTGTTTAACAAATCAGAATTAATTTCTTTATTTGATTACTGAAACAGCTGAATAATTAGTGAATATAGTTATTTTTGACTAACTAAACAGCTGTAGGATGCAATGCAATTTATTTTAAGCTTGCTGTATTAGGTACCATATTTTAAAGGTTGTGTCCAACGTGTGTGAATAAGGTTTTCTCTAAAAATCATGAAGCGTGTCGTTATAAGTGATTTTCGAGTATTATCAACACTCATACATCTTTCTCTTCAAACCAGACATGGTTTGTTGTTTGTTTAACCCGTGCCGTGATTGCAGCAGGTATCGAACCAATTTCTCAGTTGTTATCTTATTAGGCCACCTCATAAAAGCCTTATGTGATTTTCTGTCGAAATACTTTTATCTGTCACGTACGGAAGAGCATTAGGGCCATGTAGAACAAAAATCAATTTGTTTTTATCGTGTTGTTAACTCGACATTTCCACTTAATAACTCGAAATTTTAATAAGATAACTCAAAATTCTAAGAAAAAAACTTGAAATTGTGAGTTATTATGTTAAAATTTCGAGTTATTCTGTCGAACTTTCGAGTGATTAACACAAATGGAGTGTTTTCTACCTGTCCCTAACGCTCTTCCGTAGTCACGGCTAAAGATAACCATTTTTTTTTACCCCATGATTTCATCTCTTTTTGGACAGAAAGACAGGGAACAAAGGGCCGAATTGTTAAAAATTAAAAAAGGGGATAAAACAGCCTTGAAATGTATTTGGATGTAAATGTTTTGAGATATTTATTAAGTTTCCTTATGTGTATTTTCAAATTGTGAATTCCATTGCCCTCGGATAATAGTGGAGTTTAATTCAGCAAACAAATCTATTTGATACAATTATTCTCCGAATAAAGTAAGTTCATTGTAGTTATAATAACTTACATGTAATGGCAGTTTAATTGAGAAGAAATGTGTACCTCAAACACTCTTACTAACCCTATTATGACTGCTTGAGTGCAGCGTATAAGGGGAAACTGACATATGTTTGATTTTGGAAGAAGTTGTTCGCCGAAGTTAGCAAAATGTAGTAATCACATCCTGTTATTGTTTAAAACTACTCTTTAATATGTTTTTGTTGTGAACATGATTGATAATACTATAGTATCTTGTTTTATAAACCTGATTTTAAAATACAACCCTATAAGGTCCGTGAGCTTCTAGTATATTTACAAACGTCTTCTCCTTCTAAATTATTTTTGATAGCCAGATACTTTAGATAGGCATTACATAGTGCTATATTAAAGCTGTTTGTTTTGTTGCAGTATATTGAAAATTTGATTCTAGAATAACAAAACAAATGTGCACCTATTCAAAACTTTAGAACGAAGGACGAATTGTGCAATATGACTATATCGTCAATTAAGGTGGGTCCATATTTTTGGGAAAACCCATGTCATTTTTTTCTAGTTAGGCTTATTTTCTTGCATTATTTACGTAGATTCCATATATGAAAAAAAGGGGTTTCTCGACTTACGGTTTGAGATATTTGAGCTGGAAGGTACCCACTTTTCTGAAATTTCCCCCCAAATAATGAAAGTAAGTAAAAATATGTTTTCTACAATATTTATAAAACTTAAGTTACCACCAAGTTGACGGTATTATAAACGAATTATATTTCCGTATACAATGCTAGCGCACCATTCCAAACGTGATGTGCCTGATTTCACTAATTGTTGTGTAGTTTCTGTATATGCAGGTCGGTATATAAAATGCATATTAAACAGATATTTGCAACTATTACCGAGTCAACGTCTAATTATTGCTGTATCGTAACATAGACAATCGAGTTCAAAACCCGGTACATTGATAGACTACGAGCGGAACATGTCGTTTCCGCGCTACAAATTTCCAGAACTAAAAAAAATAGTGTCGGAAATTGTTTTGGTCATGTCTTTTTTTTCTAAAGGGCCGGTGCCTCTTTTATGGGAATTTTACTGCGCGGACACAATGAATTTGGAATTTTACGACATGTTACGGTTGTATGATATTAGGGAAATTCTGTTTGATTGCGCTCAGACAACCTCATGTGTAAACAAAACTTGAAGCCTGAATTCAATGCCCCAAGATACACTTATATTTGTCAAAAATGTTGACAACGTTGTACAAAAGTTTAAAAGAAGGCATACTTTAATAGTTTTATAAGCTATTGGGTAATATTGGGTCAGAATTGGAAAAGCTTCTCTTTGGGAAAGTACCTAAAGTCGGCACTAAATGGGGTAAAAAAATCACTGGCATTAGAGACTGCTGTCGTCGAAATTATGTTTTTAATCGCTGATTTTAATATATGATAACTCCAATTATAGATGTAAACAATCACACATGTTAGACATACACTGCATTTTCATACATTCGAGCACTTGTCTACCTTGTTATTGCTCTTTTGGTTCCACAGAGCACTAAATATTAATATCTTGATTGACCATCATTTAAACATACAGACTGTTAAAGCAGTTTCATTAGTATAATTCACAGCAGGTGAGGACACCACATGCTTAGACAGGACAGAGTATCACACTAAAAGAATATCTTCCCAAGCGCCCCCCCCCCCCCGCAGTATACAATGTACATCATTTTTACTTTTCAGATTTTTTGAGATGTTCACAGTCATATACATTCAATTCGAGGCGGACTCATACAAGGAAGAAGAAAATTCTAGTCCCGAGTATGGGATTCTGAGACTAATATGAGGAGGTGGTTTTGTGGTAGTTGCACATTTACAATGTAATTGTGAGTGCGTGGGTGAGAGGGGGTCAAAACTCCTCTGCTTAAAAAGTTTTTCAATGAGCACACAATTATCTGGTTACACATGATGAACTTTTATAAACATCTTGAAATAAAGGCGAGATGTTCATGTGATATTCAAGCTGAATCCAGGGGAGACAAGCAGATTTTGGAATCTTATGCAATGTAGATATGTGGACTCTCATTCATAACACAAGAAAACATATCTTGAATTTGAGAATAAATTAAAAGTGTAATATCAGATTCTGATTATAAATTTGAATCAGAATTCCAGAGAGAAAATTCACAGAGAAATAAATTCTTGGAAAGTAATTACTATTTACCAAGTTAACTTACTATGAGTTTTAGTCTTTTTATAACAGGAGAGAAACAAAAAGAATTAAACACATTTTAAACTAATATTGATTTTATCAAATCACATTTTTGAAACATAATACAAAATAAGAAATAAAGATACAAATATTTGTCTTTGGAGTATGAACATTGTAGTTTGAATTTTATGTATTAAATTGATAACATTTACAGGACCTATATGCATTTGATTTTTTCACATTTATTTGTCCAGAGTTTTATTTCTTTCATGGAGTCTTCTTACATAAGGCTGTCTGCTAAATAGTAATATTTACCTAATGTATGACACAAATGATCATCTCACCTCCAATATTTATTACATTTCCCTACAGTATGACAGTTATGGCAACAACACTATCAAACTTTATATCAAAGTTTACGAGTTTATCTTTTATACTCTTAACCTTTTCTATGTGATTTTCTGGAGGATAGATGACGTATACATAACTTTTATAAACACATTTAGACCCCTTTCACATTATACTGTGACTGAAGATGTGATCACAACGCCCCAAGTAGCTCAAAACTTTATGCTTTCCTTGATTAAAACGAAAACGAGTACCAAACGTAATCCTTGACACACTTACAATCATGGAGAATTTTATTTTGTCTAATTTTTGTTTTTTGTTGTTAAAATCTCGGTCCTGTCGTTTTTTATTTTTCGGGTTTGGGTTTTCAATTTGCCCTTTCGATGTGATGTTATGTGTTTTTCGATTTTTAAACATTGTATTACATATACAGTAAAGCAAAACTTAAAAGACAATGCTTTTTTAAAGTTTCTACAAAGAACTATAAGGATGAAGCAGAATTCACGAGATGGTTCTATTGTTTTATAGATAGGAAAGCATTCATTTATAAATTATAATATGACTTCTACATTTAAAATAAGATATTCAACCTTGTATTTTATGTTTACAGTGATCTTGATGGTTGCCACAATACAGACAGTATATGGACATTTACACGTACGTCTAGAAGGAACCTTATCCATGCTTCCAGATGGATCGTCATCCAGTCATATCCTGGCATCGCACACCAATGCGATAACGAATGTAGACATACCCTGCGCCTCGGACGTGAGATGTCGCTGTAAAGCTTCAGCCAGCGGTGGTGTAGTGGCGGACTGCTCCGACTCGAACATTTCTGTTATACCAGATTTCAGTTCCAACGTTACCGACATATTGCTACAGAGGAACAATATCAAATACTTAAAGATCGAGGGAGACCAAGTAGCCAGTTCTATTTTGTATCTGGATATTTCTGAGAACAAACTGGAAAAAATCATTGGCGATCCCTTCCAACCTATGGAAGCATTAAAACATCTTGATTTGAGTCACAATTTCCTACAATACACTTCATCTGTATTTTCAAATAATGTATTTCATGGATTGAAAAGCTTAACATATCTCAACTTGAAGTGCAACAATCACAATGACAGAGTTCGTTCTGATAACCTGACGTATCCAGTGAGTATCGGAAATATAACAACGCTGAAAACTTGTTTACTAGACGGTGTGGATCAAACTGGTTTCACTGGCGATTTCAAGAACCTTACAAAACTAGAATCTCTAGACCTAGAAGGTCACACGGGAGTTTGTGTATTACCCATCTAATTATTTCGAAAATGTATCCTCTATTCAGCATCTCAATTTGTCTTACTGTAAAATGCGTAGCATTGAAAGTGGAACTTTCCGTGTGCTTGCTAATCTGTACGCTCTGAACATTTCCCACAATGACCGGCTAACCTTCAGCGTTATGTCCAATTTGACTGATGACCTACAAATTGTACCAATCCGCACATTAGATATCAGCAAGCTCCACTGTGACTATGGACCTGGAATCGCTATATATGTGCAAGATATAGACAAATTAAGCAATCATACTTATTTGACAAATATGTACATAGACAGTAATAGATTATCGTTACTCGAGTTCGGCGTGATTCCAAGATTACCGAAAAGTTTAAGGCTTCTCTCGGTAAAAGAAAATAGGATAACGTATGGGAACTATATTTTTGAATTAGCCAGCGCTATCAATTTAGAGTTTTTCGACGGAAGTAACCAGTACTCCTCCCATGACCCTATCACCGGTTCGAAGGACTGCAACGACTGGCGGGCACCACCATCCTCAAGTGACGATGACTCCTCTACTGATCAGAACGCTGTTTTCGACATTGTTAAGCTATCGGCAGCTACTATTAATCTTCCTCCTAACCTGAAAGAGGTCTTATTTCATGATAGTGTTTTAGATTATGTAATAACAGGACGTATTCCTTTCGGTCCGAACAACTTGACACGATTTGACCTCCATAACAACTTATTACATTCCTGGAGGGGCACAGTTGCAAATTTACATCACATGAAATATGTTGATGGATCAAACAATTACTGTACGTTTATATCAGATGAATTCTTTAACGAATGTCCGAACCTGGAATCCCTCATTATACATGATAATCTGCTGGGGAATGTTTTATATAACGATACGAATGGAAAGATTTTCAGACATCTCACACATTTAAAAGTGTTGGATTTATCTTGGAATCGTATACAGGCTGTTCCGAACCTTTTGCTAAAGAATCAAAACGAACTCCAAATACTTAACATTAGTAACAATGAACTTCACACATTCGACTTGGAGCTCAAACACATGACAAATTTGCAACACTTAAACATCTCTCACAATCAACTATATAAACTAAGCAAGTATGATCGCGTTCAGATAGATAGCCTTAAGCGGTCAAATCTGACAGTGAACTTGTATGGAAATCAACTTCAGTGTTCGTGTGAAACTCTTGATTTTTTAAAGTGGCTAGACGACAATAAGGCAATGTTCAACAACTTCCGGAACTACGATTGTCGATTCCCAAATGACTCAAGTACGACATTTTGGAATTTCGAAAATGTTTTGATTGAGTTAAAAAAGAACTGTTATGATTACACCGGATTGATAGCAGGGATAACGTCTGCTATCGTTCTTGCCATCTCATTAACCGTCTCAGGAATTGTGTACCGCTATCGATGGAAGTTAAGATATTTGTATTACATGGCAAAAACAAGATACAAGGGATACACAAGTTTGAAAACCAACAATGACGAACGTGATGCTTACCCATATGATGCCTTCATATCGTACAGCGAACAGGACGGGAGGTTTATCAGGGGTGACCTATTAGAGAACATGGAGGGACGAAGTGGTTTAAAACTCTGTCTACATCAACGTGATTTCATTCCGGGACAAGACATAGCAGAGAATATTACTAAAGCCATACATCAGAGCTGGAAAACAGTGGTGATTGTATCTAACAACTATCTTAAGTCATACTGGTGTATGTACGAATTCAACATGGCTCGTATGGAGAGTATCTACTCAAGGGGAGGCAAGTCTGTTTTACTGTTGGTATTCTATGAAGATATAGCAGCGAAAAATCTTCCGTTGACACTGATGGATCTGATAGAAAGCAAATGTTACATTGAGTATCCGCACGACGAGCAAGGTGACGTTGTCTTCTGGGATAAGTTGGCTGAGACTGTTTCAATGTAGGCAATTGATATATCACGTGTACTTGACTTTTCTTTGTATTTTTTTCTGAAATAAATTTGCTGAGACTCCCACATAACTGGACTGCAGCGCGTCCGAGGTTTGTGGCGTATTTATTTAGACAATTTGGACGACAAGGTCACACTAATGGCGGGTGGGTTCCCATTCCGCGGTTACACAATGGATATACTAAAAACAAACCCAAACCGGCTCGACGGAGAGGACACCGTTAGACTAAGAATAAAAGACATTCCCTTATCAGCGGATGATGGTCAAATTGACAGGTTTTTTTGTAAAAAACAAGGCTGAAACGATCGGCAATATTACACGTGAGAAACTGAGAATTAATGAAAAACTCACTAACTGTGAAACGGGAGACCGCTTTGTTATTATAAAATCGAGTTCGATACACAGTCACATTCCTCGTGTACTACAGATCGGGAAATATAGGGCCAGAGTATTCTATAGAGGACAACCTGACCCAAACAGTGAAAGAGAAGCACAGAAAACATGCTCCAAATGCTTGGAAGAGGGACATACATTCTCTACCTGTCTAAATGATTGGAAATGTAGGGCGTGTGGTAAAACGGGACACAAGCAAAGCGAATGTGAGTCAATCATTGAAAACATAAACACCGAAATCCAGGTACACGGGATCGAAAATACCGATGAGGTCAAAGGTTGCGAGTCAGCTGGTGACAGCAACAAAGGCAGTGCGAGCAAATATGGAGGACAACCGGTCGACAAAACAGCAGGTTCACGTCGCACAGGTAGCCGCATTCCTACACATAAGAGGCAGGATAAAGGTCAAACGTCCATTAAGGATACGTTTGCGGCAGTAGTTGGTTCGAGTACACCGGGTACTCCAAACAATCCGCGGCCATCCCCCAAGAACGTACGATCTCCTCCTACTCCAAGCGAGGAACTCAATGGTCAGTACAAAAAATCTAAAAAGTCGTCTGGGTGGACGAACAACACAAAGTCAACTCCGTGATAACCCCGTATATGTATAACAAAACTGTTCTAAACGAGAACGATAATGAAACAAGACATTTTAAGACTGACACAGTACTTCAGTTATTTGTAAGAAATAGACTGAGTAATTACATAAGTATAAGAAATACGTATAGCTATACTTGTTATTGTTGTATAATGATACAAATACTCCAGTTTTGTACAAAGGAGCTGAGTGCTTTTATCATTATTATTGCATGTAACCATATGTGTTGTGATGGTATAATGAAAAATGTATACAATTATGATTGGTATCCCTAATACTATACATGTATTGTCATTGAATACTCGGGGTCTTCGAAACAAATCGAAACGATTCAGAGTATATGAATGGCTTAAAAATCAGAAATTTGATATAGCATTTCTGCAGGAGACACACTTTACAGAAGATTTGGTTGGTGTAATTAACAATGAAATACACAATTTTGCTAAAGCTATATCAAGTTTTGGTGACAATAAAAGCAGGGGTGTATACGTATCGGTTATATGGAACAATAAATTGAATATCGATGTACCAAAGAAGGTAATTGATGAGAATGGTAGATTTATTATACTCAACATTGAAATTGAAAATGATGTGTATACAATTGTTAATGTATATGCACCAAATTGTGAACAAAATAGAAATGTGTTCTTTAAAAATATACAGAAACAAATAACAAACCATAAAGCTGGATCTATTATAGTCGGTGGCGATTTTAACGAGGTACACGAAAAGATTGATAGAAAAACAAGTGTACAAAACAGGATCCTTAAAAGGACATATGGAGTAACAAATACAAAAAAATCTCTAAATTTAGTTGATATTTGGAGATTACGTAATAAAAAAAAAAATCCAATATACATGGAGACGTAACAGATATGGGGAAGCAAGTAGGATTGATTATTTTCTGATAGAAAAAGATATAATTAATACAGTTCAGAGCGTAGATATAAGACCGGCCCAAATTAAATACACCGACCATCAAGGTATATCACTCAAATTGAAGGTAATTAGAGATAATAGAGGAAAGGGGGTTTGGAAGATTAACGGTA